GAGAGAGAGAGACAGAGACAGAGAGAGAGAGACACGTATAACATGAAGTTGTGGAAGATGCGTCCGAGCCGCCTGGGCGCGCCTTTCCAAAGCCACACGACCGACAGGTCTAGGGTCTAGGACTAGGGGTAGCTCCGTCGAGCCCAGCCACCAAGATCTTCTGCACTTGGTGGAAGTCGATTGGGTTCGGTGCAGCCGCTTCGTAGAGCACTGGCAGCTTGAACATCCCAGTGTGCATGGCCACGACGCCGTGCTCCACGGGGAGGAGGAGGAGGAGGAGAAGGAGGAGGATGAGGAGGAGCTGTTCACAGTGTGAGAGAGAGAGAGGAACAGAGAAGCATGACATGGAGTTGTGGAAGATGCGTCCAAGCCGCCCAGGCGGGCCCTTCCAAAGCCAGATGACCGACCAGTCCAGGGTCTAGGACTAGAGGCAGCTCCGTCGAGCCCAGCCACCAAGAGCTCCCGCACTGGGTGGAAGAGGGTTGTGCTCGGTGCAGCCGCTTCGTGAAGGACCGGCAGCTCGAACGTCTCGTGCTCTCGAGGGGCCCCCTTCCTCGTTCGGAGCTGGCGTCGTGCCTGCACGACTCCGTTTTCTGAGCTGCGTCCTGCGCCCTCGACGCCGTGCCCCACGGCCCCCCCCCCCCGCTGGCCCCTCGGCCTCGGCCGCCCAAGCCGCACTCCCCACAGCCCTCTGAGGCGCGCTCGGCGCCTGGCTCGCGCTCCGCTGCGCCACGGGGCAACGGGGGAGGGGCGCCATCCCAGCGCTCGCCACCGCACGGGGTCCCTGCGAGGGCCCTTCCTCAGGCGATCGCAGACATGGATCAAAGGGGGCGTGGATTAGCGACGGGCCCCGCTTCCGCGGGAAATCGCGGAGTTCCGCCGCCGAACGAGGCGGCACCGGCCGCATTTTGGGAGGGCACCTCCCCCGATCCATGGATTTGGCGACCATGCGCCAGATCCATGGATCGCTAATCCATGTTTGCGCGCCCCCGACTTTCGTCCGCACGAACACGCCCGTACCTGAAGCCCCCGATACTAGACCCATACAAGTCGCCGCACGTTCGGCAATTGACTGGAGAGTGGCCAGACGGAGATGCAAGACCCCGTTAAAATGGGCGAGCGGCCGCGCTGCTAAATTTTGTTGTCGCCCTTCCACGTTTCAAGCTGCATGTCAACCGTTCGAGTTCGATGCCTCGTGCAAACGCATCCACGTCGGAATGGACCCTGTCGCCATTCTTCTACGCAAGCGGATGTAAGCGACCAGTAGCAACCATATCGATTTCCAGTCCTAGGGGTCTGCACGACGAGCTGTGCGTTCTCCCTCCCACGGTCCCGCCCTCACCGCTGCTGCTGGCGTCCCCGTCATCCTCCGTACGACCGGTTGCTCATAGATATGCGCGACCGCGGCGCAGTCGCACATTTTGTAGGGATCGCCACGGCGCGCCTCGAAGCGGATCAGAGCATGACGCTCTCTGATGATGGTGGTGGTAGTGGCGACGGTGATGATGGTGGCGATGGTGATGGTCGTGTTTCTGCCAACTTCGATGATTAATCCATTGTTGCTCATGGTGGTGGTGATGATGATGTCGATGATGATGATTATGATGATGCTGATGATGCTGATGATGGTGGTGGTGATGATGATGCTGCTGATGATGATGCTGATGATGGTGATGATGGTGATGGTGACAGTGATGGTGATGAAAGTTATGATGAATATGTAGACGGTGATGATGACGATGATGATGGTGATGATGATTATGATGATCAGTATACGTATGATGCTGATGATGATGGCACTGATGGTGATGGTGATGATAAGGGTGATGAAGGTGATGGTGTAGTGAGGATGATGGTAGCGAACGTGTCCGTTGCTCGTGACGATGACAGAATATTGAGGCTGGCGGGCGTGAGTTGTGTTTCGGTGGCCGCGTTATGTTCAACGCGCATTACTCGCGGGATGCCTTGGCGTGCGCGCGCGGGTGCTTCACTCCAGCGCGCGATCCGCCGCGCGGCCAGATGCTGGCCAGAGAGGACTGCGTCTCAGCCGGACGCAGTCCTCGCGCCGCGGCCCCGCGCCGCCACGGGGGCGGCATTCGGAGCGCCGCGCCTCCCCGCCCCAGCTCGCCCTCGCCCTCCCGGCCGCTCGCGCGCTGTCAGGGCGGCAAGCCCGCCTCCCCGCGCGGCCACGGCCCCCTCGGGGGCTCCCCGCGCGGGGGCGTCTCGTCGCCCACCGCCGCGGCGACGGGGCCGCGCCCTCGCGGAGGCCCTCGCGCCGGCCGGCTGGGCAGCGGCGCGGGCCGCACCGCCGCGCGCGCCTGCGCTGGTCGGGCGGAGGCGGTGCCTCGCCCGGCCTACGCCCGACCGGGCACTCCTCCGACGGCCCCTCGAGGCCGCGAGGGCTGCCGCCCGGGGCGCTCCCGCCCGCGCGGCCATCTCGCACGGGGCCGCCTCCCTGCGGGCCGCTCGCACGGGGCGCTCCTTGGGCTCGCCCGCGGCCGCCTGCAGGGGCCGCTCCGGCGTCGCCTTGGCGCGTGCGGGTTCGCGCGCTCCCAGCTCGGAGGAGAGGAGGGACCCATAGCTCGGGGGAGGAAAAGGTACCCATACCGCTCCCCTTCGCCCGTTTTTTGTTTTTTTTTGTTTTTGCTTGTCTGTTTTATCGCCCTCCTGGGAGGCCCTCGTCGCCACCGTTGGATTCGCCTCGGAATTCCGAGCAGAACGCACCCCGGGAGGGGTCCGCGGAGCAGCGGTGCAGTCGGGGCGCTGAAGACGGAACCTTGTTCGTTTGGGAGGGGCGCCCAGTGTTCTCAAGTTTTTCGTTACCGTTCGCCTTTGGTTGTCCTTAGGTGTTCGATGGGACATCGAAGTCTTACCAGCCTCGAACGTATCCCTATCCTTAAGATTAACACGCCAAAAGGCGATGACAATCTTAGGGATTCGCCCTCAAAAAAAAAGTGAATCCCTAAGATTGGCATCGTGATGAGGAGGTGCCCAGCATAGGGATAGGGATATGTTCCAGGCTGGTAAAAGTTTATCTCATGAGAAGAAGAGGGCCTCGTTCCTCGTTCAGGGCTCCTCAGGTCAATGCCCCAATGTGCATTCGTGCCCGCTGGTGTTTCCGCTCGTGGCCTCCACGTGGCTTTTAGCGCAGCAGCGTCACCATCGGCACCCTGAGGGCAGGAGAGCGTGAGCAGCAGGGCGCTACGCGGCCCGCTGCCTCTGGCCATCCGTGTCCCGTCGAGGCGGTGCCGTCGTCACCACAAGCAGTCATCGCCGCCGTCGTCACGGCGACGATCGTGCCTCTGCTCTCCTTCGCGCAGGGGCACGGCGCATGGTGAGCGTACTTGGCTCTGCTCCCTCTGCTCCTCTGATCTTCCCCCTCGCTCCCCATGCGCCCGCCTCTGCTCCACCCGCTCTCTCTGTTTCTCTCTGTCGCCCCTCTTGGTGGCGCGCACAGGGGGGGTAGGGGGAGGGGGGGAGGTTTTTTAGACGGAGGCTGCTGCCTAGAGGGCGCGGTCCTTAGATGTGAGGCCCGCGCCCTCTAGGAACCAGCCTCCTTCTAAGAAGTGTTCTCCCCTCCCCCCACCCCCCTTGCCACCCCCTTGTGCGCGCCGCTACATGGTTTGTGGGCCGGTGACAAACCAGCAGCATCATCATCGTCGTCACCATCCCGACTATGATCGTCAAGTGCATCGTCACCACCATCGGCGTCAGGGCCCTCGTCGGTGTCATCGCCCTCATCCCTCCTTCCTCATCCGTCCTCCTCACCTGTCCTCCCTCTTCTTCCTCCTCTTTGTCGTCGTCCTCCCCCTCATCCTCGCCCTTTTCTCCCTCCCTCCCTCCTTCCCTCCCTCCATCTCTCGTTCCCTTCCCCCTCTACCTCCTCCGCCGTCCCCAGAGGTTTTCCAGGGGCCCCCTGAGCACGCTCTGAAGTCATTGGGAGCCTCGGGAGGCTGCCTGGGGGCGCCAGAGGGGCCACACTTGTTGCGTCGGCGGCTAGGCAGAGTAACTGCGCTGGCGAAGACCTACCTCAACGGGGGTGCCGCTGTAGCGAATTGTGCCACCGTGCGGGAGGGGGGGACAGGGCGGAGGAAGCGGCCGAAAGGGGCGGCGGGCGGGGAGCGAGGCCGCTCAGGGGGACGCCAGAGGGGTCACACACGCCGACTCGCCGCCGCCACCGTGGCCCCCCATCGCGCCACAACGCCGAGTGGCCCGAGTCTTCCCGGACGCGCGCTCCGGGAGCGCCCCGCCAAGGCACCGAGGCGACGGGGCGGTTGAGGGGAGCGAGGGGGCGGTGAAGGATCCGGGGGGGGGGGGAGCACGAGGAGGAGGGGTACGAGGGGAAGGGAGGAGGGGAGGGGGCGATGGGGAAGGGGTGGAGGGGGCGAGGGAGGTGAGGAGTTGGGGGGCAGGAACTGTAGGAGGATGTTGGGGGGGGGGGGGGAGGAGGGGGAGGGAGAGGGGGAGGAGGAGGAGGAGGAGGAGGAGGAGGAGGAGGAGGAGGAGGAGGAGGAGGAGGAGGTGGAGAGGAGGAGACTCATTCGAGGGCTTTTGCCTTGAGAACCCACGTTATCCTGACCCCCGGGCGCGCGAGGGCACGGGCCCGCCAACCGCCCCCCTGTTCCGTTTCGGGGAGGTGCGGGGAATCCTGCGACAGATTCCAAATTGGCGCCCTCGCGTGGGACATCCTCAGACTCAGGAGGGGAAAAACACACAGACACAATTAATCGTCGATTCCCCAGAAAAAATGATAAGATAAGGGAAGTGGGGGGGAAGACGAAAGCCTTTAAAATATTGGAAAATATTAGGAATCCTTTTATTTGTGTGTATTTATTTGTGTGTCCTGGGGCCCCTTCACAGACAACAGTCCCCCCGAGCCTTCCCGAGGAGGCCCTCAGAGGCCCCCCATGTTCCGTTCTGGGGAAGTGCGGGTGATCTGGGGACGAATCCCAGACGGGCGCCCTCGCTTGGGACGTCCTCCGGAAACCGGCCCCCCCGAGCCTCCCAGGGCGGCCCTCAGATGCGCGCCGTGGGGCGCCGTGCGTGTCCCAGTACGGGGCTCTCGCTCGAGACATCCTCCCGAAGTCGACCACCGGCGCGAGAGAGAAAGACGGGCCCCACAGCGCCCCAGGGACCCTTTCCGGGGATCAGCCGCGCGCCGGGGCGCACCGCCCCTTCTTCTATTCAGCGGCCAGCTAGTAGTGATGATGATGTTGCTGCTGCTGCTGCTGCTGCTGCTGATGATGATGATGATGATGATGATGATGATGATGATGATGATGATGTTGATGTTGATGATGATGATGATGATGGAGATGATGACGACGATGACGATGATGATGACGACGACAATGACGATGACGATGAGGATGAGGATGAGGATGAGGATGACGATAAAGATGAGGGTGAGGATGAGGATGAGGATGAGGATGAGGATGATGAGAATGATTATGAGGATGATGATGATGAGGAGGAGGAAAATGATGGCGATGATGATGATGATGAAGAGGAGGAGGAGAAAGAGGAGAAGGAGTAGGAGGACGAGGAGAATGAGGAAGAGGAGGAGGAGTAGGAATACGAACAGGAGGAGGGGAAGGAGGAGGAGGAGGAGGAGAAAAAGAGGAGGAGGAGGAGGAGGAGGAGGAGGAGGAGGAGGGGCGCGATGAGGAGGAGTGAGGAAGAAGGAAGAGGGATGCGGGGAGAGGATGAGGAGTAGGTGGACGAAGGGCAGGAAGATGACACACTTGATAAGTGAGCAATTGCGAAGAGTCGGTACGAGTTCCGTGAGCACGGCTTCTTTGTGGCGCCTGGCCGCGTCCCATGTGGAGGTCGGAGGGCCTTGCAACGTTCTTGTGGTTTTGAGCTGGTGTTTGCAGCCAGTTCCCCCCGTTGCAGCCACTGCCTGCCATACAGGCACGCGGTTTGCGGTCACTGCGCACCTTGTTCACACGTAGCTCACGACGCGATGGGTTGATATTGTTTTCCATTTTGTCATTCCCTTTTCCACGTGGTGTTACCGATGCGATCTCGAGGTGTTTTCGTATGGATCCGCGTTCGCATGGAGGTATTTTGCTTCTGCGGCGTTTCTTCCTCCCCTGCTTCTCTCCGTCTCTCCTTGTCTTCCTCCTCCTCCTCCTCCTCCCTGACTGCAGCGGTGTGCCGGTCTATCCTGCCGCGAGCCGGGTTGCGCACCGATTCCATAACAACCCATTTCGGGACATGTTAGAGGTGCGTGACCGCTCTTCGCAGCCCCCCTTTCCATTCCGGGTGAACCAAGGTTCGAACCCCGTCCTCACTCCATCCCTCCCAATTCATGGTCGTCGTCCTCCCCCTCCTCCTTCCTCTCCGGCTTCATGCTTTCACATGTTTGTGGCGAGTGGCAGTCTGAGGGTGTCCAGACTTGCCTCGTCGTGTTGCGTTGGCGTGGGAACTAACATGTGCCTCATGGCGTTCAGCCACGTACCCCTTCACATCTGCAGCACAGACGAGCTACTGGTATTTGTTCGTGGAGTGTGGCCATGGCTAGCCGCAGCTTTCGCCAGCCCAGCCCGCCCTGCCAAATGCCTCTTGTCTCTCCCTTGCTTCTCTTGCTTCACGCATGCAGCGCGCTCGTTCCTCTTTCAGGCCACGGTTCATTGCATGAGTTTGCCTATCGCAGGTCGGCCCCCGTAGTGTTCCTGGGGTGCCTGGCAACCGTTTGATTTGTAGAGCGGTCGAGGTCGAGTCAGGCGGAGTTATGTGGTCGTGCTCCTTCTCCCTCCCCAACGAAACAAAAAAACAACGACAACAAACAGACGAGCTAGTGGTATCTCTGCATGTACCATGCGGCTCAGAGGAACCACTGGAGTCTCTGCCCAACGCTCACCTTTGCACGTTGCTGCGCTGCACTGCTCGGAATCCGTAGAAAGAGAAGGTGGAAGATGACAAGGAGGACGAGGGCGGACGATGGGACATCCCTGATGACTTCGCAAAGCCTTCAGCGCGCGTCTTGGAGCTCGGCTCCCCTCAGTCCCTTCCCGTTGTCCTCGTTCTCGTCCTCATCCTCCCCCGCCTGCATCACTTCCAATTCTTCTCCTCCTCCTCCTCGTTCTCCTCCTCCCCATCCTCGTCGCCCCTCCAAGGTACTCCAAAGGAAAAGCCAGGGTCCCCCAAATCCGAGCTGCCCACGGCGCAGGAGGAACCACCCTCGAACTGCACAGTGCCGGTTTTTGGCAGGCGCAGTTCCACGGAGCCGAAGTGGTTGGAATGGATGATGTTGAACATCGGTTATCGAGAAGGCTTTTCTTGAGGACTGCGGGCCCAGGGGCGACCATCAGGTCGTTCTCGCTCGCCCTCTGCTTCCTCGGGGACCTTTGCTGGCGCCCAGGAGTAGGACCCATGCCGTTGTGGTCCGCCCTCGTCTGGAGAGCAATGGCAGGAGAGTTTGCGCCAGGCTTCAATCTTCCAGGTCTCCGTGCTATGCCAGCAGCAGTGCCCGAGGGCCCTCTACCAAGATGGGGCCAGTGCAGAAGACCATTTGGATCTGCGACTTAAAGCGCGGCCAGACATGCGTTTCGCAGGACCCTTCCAACTGATCGACCAGTCGGGCCAGACTCACATCCTCACGACCACCTCCCCCTCGCTCCTCCACGTCTGGCTCCAGGGGGCATGGGTGCAGCGGCTGCGGGAGCAGGCGACAGTCAAGCCAGAACTGGAGGGTCAGCCGGACGTCTCAGCGGCCAAAGAAGCGCTTGTCTCCAACCAAAGATCGGACTCGGGGAAGGCTGCTCTCAAAGCGTTTCTCTGCCACTGTCCCTAGACCCACGCCAGCCTCCAACAAGCAGGATACCCCACAGAGCCGCAGTGTCAATGTGACCCTTGAGCTGCCCATGTACAGAGCCGTTGAGAAACGATCTGTTTTTTACACACCACGCACAAAAAAAAACGAGCTAGACCAGCTTCGGGACCCTTTCCAGAGTTCCCCTCATGTTGGCTTCTCTCTGAGACCCGATTTTTCGGTTGGAGCCCCAGCTGGTCTAGGAAACGAGCGTAACACGATTAGGATTCGGTGTAAAGAGGTGAAGACGGCCCAAAAAGTCGTCAAAGGCAAGATTTGGATTTATGGATCGTGCCTCGAGCAGGCGCACCCCGTTTTTCATGCAGCAGGTTTCGCAGCGGTGACGATCGATGGCCAAGGGAACCTAGCAGGAGCAATTTACGGCCCTGTAGGAAGGAGCCTCCCCTGAGCACATTGCCGTGCATGCTGCCACCTCCTTCGCTCCCTCGGTCGATCACCCAAACATTCACGGATTACCAAGGCATTCTAGATGTTTACCAGTGTCAGCTGTATTTTTGGAAGCATCAATCTTCAGGAGTTCCCATGTTTGCGAACGGCAGCTGGGCTGGCATGATAACGTCGAGTGCGTGAATAGTAAAGCGCAGCAAGATCGGGAGGCGATCCCAAGGGATCCACGGAGTGTCCCGATGCCCCGGGCAACGATGTTGCAGACAAGTTTGCCAAGCTAGGGGCGCAGCGCTTGCGACGTCCGCCTGTCGCCGGAGTCGAGCAGGCGGGAGAGCAGCACCAGCCTTTCGAGAAGTGGCCGGTCGATGACAGCTGCCAGAAGGTCTCGGTCCGTGGGGGGGGCCGGTCGGCCCCGTGAGGACCGGCAGGGCGGCCTTCCCGCCGCGAGCCACGGGGGCCGCCCAGCCGATCGCCGCTGGGGCGCGCGGCGCCCCAGAGACGCGGAGCCAGCCCCTCTCTCCCTCCTCCTGCGTTCGCGGCGCGTCCCTCCTCCTCCTGCGTTCGAGGCTCGTCCTCCTCCTCCTCCTGCTGATCCTCCCTCCTCACTCCTCCCTCCTCCTCCTCCTCCTCCTCCTCCTCCTCCTTCTTCTCCTCCTCCTCCTCCTCCTCCTCCTCCCTGGAGACGTGGAGCCAGCCCCTCCACTCCAGCCGTGCGTCCTGGAGAGGGAGCCACGGGGGATGGCGATTGTTTGACATCGGCGGGGACACAGCGATCCCACGCCGCCCATCGGTCGCAGCTGATCCGTCGAGCAGGATTCAGGACCAGTTGATGCTTCACCACCACCACCACCTCCTCCTGCGTTCGCGGCGCGTCCCTCCTCCTCCTGCGTTCAAGGCTCGTCGTCCTCCTCCTCCTCCTCCTCCTCCATGCTCCTCCCTCCTCCCTCCTCCCTCCTCCTCCTCCTCCTCCTCCTCCTCCTCCTCCTCCTCCTCCCTGGAGACGTGGAGCAGCCCCTCCCTCCTCCTATCCTCCTCCTCCTTCCTCCTCCTCCTCCTCCTCCTGCGTTCGCGGCTCGTCCCTCCTCTTCTCCTCCTCCTCCTCCTCCTCCTTTTCCTCCTCCCTCCTTCCTCCTCCTCCCTCCTCCCTCCTCCTCCTCCTCCTTCCTCCTTCCTCCTCCTCCTCCTCCCTCCTCCTCCTCCGCCCCTGGATCGTGGAGCCAGCCCCCCCCTCCTCCTCCTCCTCCTCCTCCTCCTCCTCCTCTCCTCCTCCTCTCTCCTCCTCCTTCCCCTCCTCCTCCTCCTCCTCCTCCTCCTCCTCCTCCTCCTCCTCCTGCGTTCGAGGCTCGTTCTCCTCGCCTTCGTCGCGTGCGGGAGTGGGGGTGGAGCGGGAAGTGGATATGCGTGCGCTGCAGGACGCCGCGCGCGGAGAGCAACGCCAGGGCTCCGTGGCACGAGCTATATTCTGGCGTGCCCGAAGTGTGGACTCCTACAGTGAATCGAACGCGAGAGGTCTGAGCGGGATGCGTGGAAATCATTTCAAGCGACCAGGCGCTCGAATTCGGTGGAATCTGCTCTGCATGGGTGAGCACCCCAGAAGCAACTGCTCCACTCCCTCAGGGCACGGTTGCCCCCCGCAGCGGCTGACCGATGTCTTGTTCCGTCATCGCCGGGAGGCCATGTCCCAACAGGAGGACGCCACGCCATAGGGTGGGCCAAGCTCCGCACCCAACCACGTGCTGATCCTCGTCGCCCCTCGTGCTCTCTCGCTCTGCCCCCCTTGCTCTTTCATGCCCTCCCCACGTCTCCCTTCTCAAGGAGGCCTTGCCTGCGAAGCCGCGCACGTTTCATTCGTAAGAGGGGGGGGGTTCGAGTGCTGCTCTCTCACTCTCTCTCGTTCCTGCGTTCGTTCGATGCTTCTCTCTCTCTCTCTCTCTCCCTCTTCCTCTCTCTCTCCCTCTCCCCCTCTCTCTCTCTCTTTCTCCCTCTCTCTTTCTCTCTCTCTCTCTCTCTCTCTTTTTGTTCTCTCTCTCTCTCTCTCTTTTCTCTCTCTCTCTCTCTCTTTCTGTCCTTCCGAGTTTTGAAACTGGAAGTGTGTGTGTGTATGTATGTATGTTTGTATGTATGTATGCATGTATGTATGTATGTATGTATATATATATATATATATTCATGTATAGATATTCATGTATATATATATGTATATATATATATGTATCGCAGGTTGAGGTGCGAATTCGAAGCAAAGCGAAGACCCCCCACCGGGATATCGGTTTTAGGCTGTTTGTTTGTGCCGTGCGCGTGGGCGGGGCGCAGCTGCGCGGGCGGGCGAGGGGAACGAACCCGCCGTGGCTCGGGCGAAACGGAGCTCAATGACTCTACGCCCCCCCCCCCGATTGGTTGGCCGGCGGTGGCTCGGGGGTGTCCCGCCGATGTCCCGTGAGGTCTGGTGAGGTCGATTGTGAGATCGATCGTGAGGTCGATCGGGGAATCGATAGTGAGGGTTGATCGGGAAGTCGATGGCGAGCTCGACAGTAAGGCGATCGTGAGATCGATAGATAGTATGATCGATAGATAGAGGGGGATTGATAGTGATACCGATCGGTAGATAGAAAGTGAGACCGATATCCAGATGGCAAAACAGGTGCTCCGTGGTGGCCGAGTAGTTTACGCCGGATCCGATCCGACCCCAATCGCACACCGAAAGTTGCCCCTCCAAACAGCCTCCTTATCACCCGAATTGTGCCCGCGTGTAGGTACACGCATACTACCCCTTTGTTTTTCGCTTTCTGTTTCTCTCTTTCTATGTTTCTCTCTCGTCCTTCTCCCCCTCCTTATCACTCCTCTCTCCTCCCTCCTATCACTCCGCCCTCCCCTCTTATGTTTTCTCTCCCTCCCCTCTCTCTCCCTCTATCCTCCTTTCTCCTCCTCTCCCCCCTCTTATATTTTCTCTCCCCCTCCTTATCACTCCTCCCTCCTCCTCTGCCTCGTCCTCCTCCTTCGGCGACGGCCCCAGGCAAGCCATCGAGCGATGGCGGACGGCACCGCCCTGTACGTGATGGGCTTCCCAGTGGGCATCTCCGAGAGTACGGCGCACCTGGCCCACGAAAGGGCGTCCACCTCCTTCCCCTCGTAGATTTCGACGTGCTACCGGCCGCTCCCGTCGCGTCAGCTCCGCCCCCCCCCCCCCCCGCACTCCCTCCCCACCCTCTCCCCAGCACCCTTGCCATTCCCAGACCTTCCCTGTTCAATCCACTCCCCCTCAAGGTTGGCAGCTTTTGCCCCGACCGCGATCGGTCTCCTCGTCTTGTGATGCCGAGTTGTGACGCCCAGGTTTCCCCGCGTGCCGCGGGGGTGGGACCTCGGTTGTGGCAGCGCGGCCCTTTTTCCAAGAGTTTCCCTCGTGTCGCTGCAATATTCACCAGGCACGTTCCACTACTCGCAAAAGTGCCTACTCGCAAACGCCCGAAAAAACACAGGTCTGCTTCGATGTAGTTTATCGTAGATCCCCCGCGAAGGATCCAGGCGATTTGCGAGTAGCTACTTTGCGAGTAGTGGAGCGCGCTCGTCTAAATATGTTTTCCCCAGCGGTGCAGGTTGCAGTTTTTTATTGGAGGCGCCGTCTGAGGCAAGCAAAGATCCTCCTCCTCCTCCTTATCTTTCTCCCTCGCCCGGTCGTTCTCCAGTGCACATCATGTAGTGCACCACGCAGGTTGCGCAACATCGATTGACCTCACATGTTGTATTGCATCGGCTGCACCACATTTGCACCACATAAGCTGTACAACATGTATTGCGCATGGTGTTTTGCACCGCGTAGATTACACAACATGGGCTGAACTCACATATTGCACCACATAGGTTGCACGGTATATATTGCCAAACGTCAAGTTCACAACGTAGATCTTCCATCCTAAGAAGCACGTGGGATCGGCCACCTCCCCCTCGGGTGTATCGCCTCCCCCTGTGATATCACAGTTTACACACGATTCTGCTCAATCGTTCGTTTTTTAATTATAAAACCGCACCATCCGAGGGAGTGCTGTTATTGACCCCCCCTTCGTCCCTGTCAAACAACCGTATGTGCGCACACCCGTTTATCGTTAACCATTCGTTTTCCGGAATTCCGTTCGACACGTTGGACCACGTCGACACGCGCGCGGGGTCGCGCGCGCATGCCGGAACCCTTCAAACATCTGAAGGGCCCATAAGGATCTCAAGATCGAGGTCCCCGAACACATATGACACCCCCATGGTTTTGCACTATGATGTATTAACAGCTCGCTTGTTCTTGTGAGTTTCGACGGACAGAAAACACGTTTACTATTCAAAAACATGTTCGTCAAATGGAACCACGCGGGCCTCCCGCGCGCGCATGTCGCAATCATTCGAACGCCCTTGCGTGCTTGTTGGGGGGCGGGGGGGAGCACGATCACTTTCGAATAATATGATGCAGGTCGCTCGCACGCGTCGGCCGCGCGCGTTTGTCGAAATTCATCCAAAACCTCCACCACCTAAACATGGACATCACTATTGTCATCGGCATGACAAGCATCGGCGCCGTCGTTGGCCTTGCCGCCGTCATGGTCATCATCGCCACCATCATCGCTATTCCCATCATCGTGTTCGCATCTGCCCACGTTTGCCATGATGCCGCGCCCGCCCGAGCCACGGACGCGCACTGAACTGCACGCGCTCCAGCACGGCCTGCGATCCGCGATGGGAAGTTTCTACCGGTCAACGCCACCGCGGCCGCGTCGATCGCGCCAGACCAGCTGGCCGCTCTGCGCGCGAGCCTGCGCGCTAGCGAGGCCGCAGTGATGCGGCAGAGGACGCCAAGCAGTCATCGCAACCGGCGCCGCATTGGTGTTGCAAACAAGGATGGTCGGTGGGATAAGTGCGCAAGCAGTTGAGTTGCAGTTGAGTTGAAAACGCCGCGCCGATATTGCGCTACACAGGTTGCATCACATATGTAGCTCCACCTACATTGTCCAGTCTTCAAGAAATATTCGGATATCCCCCCTCCCCCCCAGACTTAACGGACCCCCTTTCGCGTATTGCACTTTTCATTTGGTTTTGCCCAATCGCCCATCCGGTATATGATTTCTCGCCATCCCAGGCAGGCCGGTACCCACCTCCTTCACCCGCTGCAGCACATATTGTGCGCTCGCACTCGTTTACCCAGAATCATCCGTTTTCAAAATCCCCATGCAACAAGTGGGACGACGTGCACACGCGCGCGTTATCGCGCGCGCGTGCAGAAACCCGTCAAAAAAACATTGTCGCGCCAGGATTTCAAAGCCGAGCGCCCCGAAACAATTCAACCACACGTGGTTTCGCAATGAAGCATTTCACACCAGCGTGCGCTCGCGCTCTTGCAGAATCGGAAGAAAACGTCAGGTTTGCCAGAATTTGCATCAAACGCTAGCAAGCGTGCCTCTCGCGCGCGCCAGTCAAAATCGCTCGAACGAACTTTGCGCGTGCTGTCGCAAAAGATCTTTGCAAGAAAAGGGACGACATGCACGCGCGGGCGTCGTCGCGCGAGCATGCAGAAATCCGTCCAAATTCGTACGTGTCGCATGGGGGTCAGAGTCGAGTGTCCCGAAACAAATATTTAATAACACGTGGTTGTGCAACATCATAATTCAATCATGCCTGCGCTCGCGCTTTTGCGAGTTCTGAAGAAACACATCCGTGTTCAACAAGTTCATTTAGTTCTGCCACGCGAGCCCTGCGCGCCGCATGTCGAAAGCATTCGAACGCTCTTGCGCGCGTGCGTGTGGGGAACGATCCACGTCAAACCACCATGCGGGCCACGTGCTCCGTCCGCACGCGCATGGCGAACTCGATCCAGCACCTTAATCACCGACGCAAGGACGCCGTCATCGTCGCCGGCGTGACTAGCATCGGCGGTGTCGGTGGCTTTGCCGTCGTCGTTGTGGGCATCGTCGCCAGCATTGCTACTGCCATCGCCGTGCCTACCGTCGTCGACGTTGTCACGATACCGCGCTCGCCCAAGTCACGGACTCGCACTGAAGTGCTCGTTGGAAAGTGCCCAGCGGTCAGCGCCACCGCGGTCGGGTCGCGTCGGTTGCGCCAGACCAGCTGGCCGCTCTGCGCGCGAGCATGCGCGGGCTAGCGTGGCGCAGAGACGCACAAGGGAATTCCGAGCGCTCATCGCAAGTGCTGCCGCATGGGCCTTGCAAGCCAAGTTGCGGGTGGGCGGGTGGGGTGGTTGCGCGAGGAATGGAGTGGACAACTCATTGCGCACAGGAATTAGTTGCACCGCGTGTGTAAAGTTCCACATCGATTCTCCTTCTTCCAGACACGCCCCCGGACTATCCCCGCGCCCGGGGGATGTGCATTCTACGTGCGGTGCGGCACCATTTTTTATTTGTGATAGGAAAACGTATCATCCCAGCCACGCGAGTTTCGACCCCCCCCCCCCGACACCATCACATACAATACGCGCGCTCATCAATAGGCGGCAGTTGTTGAACATCCAGTGCAACAGATGGGGCGAAAAGGCACACCCCCGCGCCGTCGCGCGCGAATGCCGAAATCATTTGAAAACGCTGGGCTTCGCAAGGGGGTCAAAATCGAGCGTCCCGAACTCATAATAACGCACATGGGTTTGCTGCACCAGCTTTCAGAAAAATGCCGCGCACGCGCTCTTCTGCGATCTCTGGAGAAACCGCACATGTGTCAACGTGTGCATCTTCACTTGCGTCCACACGAGCCTCTCGCTCGTGCATGTCAGAATCATTCGCACGCGGGGGTGGGGGGAGACCCATGTCAAGTCTCAACATGCGGGCTACCCGCGCGCGTCAGCATCGCGCGTGTCGACATCCCTCCAAAACCATCATCATCGTCGCGAGGACGCAATCATCGTCACCAGCGTGATCAGCGTCGGGCCCGTCATTGACATCGCCGTGATTCGTCATCGTCGTCATCGCCACCGTTACCGCTAGCATCTCCATCGCCCTCGTCACCGCGATTTTTCCAGCCATGCCAGAACAAAGTGTATAGTCTTGTTGCCCTTCCGCGGATTGCGGAATCGATGGGCGAAGTGGCATCGGCTGTCAATCTCCCCAACCCCAGCCTCGTGAAAACAAGTCATCGTTACTATCATCATCGTATGTCTATTTGTCAACGTCGCCATGATACCGCGCCAGCCCAAGTCACCGACTCGCACTGAAGTGCCCGCGCGTCAGCGCGGCCAGCGAGACGCGCTGATAAGTTTCCAGCGGCTAGCGCCGCGGTCGCGCTGGTCGCGCCAGACCAGCTGGCCACTCTGCGCGCGAGCCTGCGCGCGCTAGCGTGGCTGCAGCGATTCGCCAGCCAACGCCAGGCAGGCATCACAAGCGTCGCCGCATAGGCCTTGCAAGCCAAGTCGCGGGTGGGTGGGTGAGATGGCTGCGTGCGCAGTCGGCGTGACAACCCACTGCGAACCAAACTTGCTCGACGCGGATATCCGCATATGTGTATCTATGCGCCGGGGCCGTTTCCGCTGCACGCGTCTGTTAACGAGAGGGTCTGGGTATGAGTGGGCTTGGGTAACAGAGACTGCGCGCGGGTGAGTCTGAGTGTTGGTGCGACTGTGTGTGATCGAGCCTGGGTGTGAGTGATTTTTCGTGTATGAGTGTAAGTATGGTCAAGCTTGGGGCAAGTGCATCTGAGTGTGAGTAGTTTGAGTGTTAGAGTGTAGGTTTGGATTTGGGTGAGTGGTCTGAGCGTGAGTGGTCTGAGTGCGAGTGTAGATTTGAGCGGTCTGGCTGTATCTGGGTACGAGTGGTCTGACCGTGAGTGTGAGTCTGAGTCTGAGTGGGTCTGAATGTGAGCTGCGGCTGAGCATATCTCAGAGTGACAGGGTTAGAACATGAGGAAGTCAGGGCGCGAGCCCGCGCGTGAGCGAGTCTGGGAATGCACGATCTGAAACGGAGCAGGCCGGAGAACAAGACAAGAGAGAAGCACGCCAAAGCACGATGTTTCGGTTTACGGGCGATAGGACCCCACGTGAAATATCAGGGCGAAAAGCCCAACATACGCAGTTGTGAGTACCGTCGTTGCGGGCATCGCCTTCGGGGGATATCCTCATGGGGCCGTGATGTGGGGCGGGCCGCCATTTGGGCGCTGCGATTGGGGCTTTCGGTGGAACCTGTTATGGGGCCGCGAAACGTGTGCGGAGACCGCCGCCGTGTGGCGGGGCCGCCGCTGGGGCCTTCGGTGGAGCTCCCTATTGGGCAACAGGGCGCTGTGCTGAGTGCGGGAGACGCATGCGAACATCGCCACTACGGCCTTTGTTGGAGCTCCCTTATGGGGCCACGGAGCGCTGTACTGGATGGGGGAAGTGCATGCGAATACCGCCACTGGGGCCTTCGGTGGAGCTCCCCATGGGGCCATGAAGCGCTGTGCTGTGTGGGGGAGACGCATGCGAACGGTGCCGTTGGGACCTAGGGTGGAGCCTATGGGGCCACGGAACGCTGCAATGGGCGGGGGAGACGCTTGCGAATACCGCCACTGGGGCCTTCGGTGGAGCCCCCTAGTGGGCAACGAAGCGCTGTGCTGAGCGAGGGATACGCATGCGAAAATCGCCATTGCGGCCTTCTTTGGAGCTCCCTGTCCGGCCACGGAGCGCTGTCCTGGGCGGGAGGGGCACCTGCGAATGCCGCCATTGGGGCCTTCGGTGGAGCTCCCTGTGGGGCCGCGAAGCGCTGTGCTGCGCGGTGGGAGCGCGTGCCAGCGCTGCCACTGGGGCCTTCGGTGGAGCTCCCTGTGGGGCCACGAAGCGTTGCACTGGGCGGGGGAAAGCATGCGAATACCGCCACTGGAGCTCCTTGTGGGGCCACAAAGCCTTGCACTGGGCTTTGGAAGCGCATGCGGACACCGCCACTGGGGCCTTCGATGGAGACCCCGTGGGGCCACGAAGCGCTGCGCTGTGCGGGGGGGAGCGCATGCGAGCACCGCCACTGGGGCCTTCGGTGGAGCTCCCCATGGGGCCACGAAGCGCCGTACTGTGTGGGGGGGAACGCACGCGAACACCGCCACTGGGGCCTTCGGTGGGGCTCCATTTGGGGCCACGAAACGTTGTACGGAATCGCATGCGAACGCTGCCACTGGGGCCTTCGGTGGAGCTCCCCATGGGGCCACGAAGCGCGGGAGGGGTGTGCCACAATAGAAGGGGGCGGCGCTGCGAACGGCGCCGTTGGGCCCTAGGGTGGAGCTCCCTGTGGGGCCACGAACCGCGTAGTGAGGGGTGTGTTGGGATTGGCGGGGGGGAGGCATGCGAACGGCGCCGTTGGGCCCTAGGGTGGAGCTCCCTGTGGGGCCACGAACCGCGTAGTGAGGGGTGTGCCGAAATTGGCGGGGGGACGCATGCGAACGGTTCCACTGGGACCTTCGGGGAGCAAGAACCCCATCCTTAGGAGATGGGGAACGAGTGCACCACGTAGATTGCACAGCATAGAGCTGGCACCATATATTGATACGCGATACATAGATGTCACACCGCGGGTTGCACAACATAGGTTGCATGACTTAGATTGCGCCACATAGGTTTCACAACGTAGTTTGCTTCACAAGCATTGCGCACTCCCTCTCTCTCTATACATGTGTGTAGGTGTATGTATATACATTTGTACATACGTATAGATATGTATACAAATACATATCTATACATATATATACACATATATATATATATATATATATATATATATGTGTTGCACCACCTAGCTTGTCCCACATACACCTGCCCAGCATAGTTGACACCACCTAGATGGCACCACACAGACTGCCCACCACGTGTTCTGCGCCCCCCAGGTTGCTCCACACAGGCTTCGCCACATAGATTGCATAGGCGTAGGCTGCACGACTTCTCCTGCACAGCATCGCTTGCACCACGCAGCCGGCATCACCTCTGGGAGCGGCGGGCGGGCGAGGGCCTGCCTTCCCAGGCCCTTGGCCTGGGGGGCCGCGGCTGGGCGGCAGGCCAGGCCACCTCTTCGCCTCCTGGGGGAGCCCAGGGCCAGCAGGCCCTTGGGGCGGAGAGCACAGGCTTGCGGAAGGCAGGCAGCAAGAGGTTTGCCCCGCATGAGCTGTTCCACACGGGGTGCGCCACATAGATTGCACCACGTCGATTCCACCACGCCAGGTGTTAGATACAGTTTGTTTGGGGCCCGCACTGGCGAACGAACTTCTGCATGCCATTTGGCTAACAGAAGGGCACACAAGGAATGTTATCCACCCAGCCTTGGGTTTGAAGACCACAGCTGTTCTTATACGGGGAAGGTTGTTCCCCTATGTGGGATGAGACCGGGCGCAAAGAGGACGAGGGGAAGAGGGGCGCGGCGCGAAAGAGAATGATGACGAAGACGGGCAGTACTACTACTACTACCACTACCACTACTACTACTACTACTACTACTACTACTACTACTACTACTACTACTACTACTACTACTACTACTACTACTACTAAACTACTACTACTACTCGAGAATATGACGAAGACGGCAGTACTACTACTACTACTACTACTACTACTACTACTTACTACTTACTACTACTACGACTACTACTATACTACTACTACTATACTACTACTTACTACTACTCTACTACTACTACTACTACTACTACTACTACTACTACTACTACTACTACTACTCTACTACTACTACTACTGAGGAGGAGGGAGGAGTAGGAGAGGAGGAGGAGGAGGAGGAGGAGGAGGAGCAAGAGAGGATGACAACGAGGGGGATAACGACGAGGGGAGATGACGATGAGGGGAGGACGACAACGATATGAAGGATGAGAAGGTCAGTGACCTCAGAGCGGACGAGGTCTCGCCTTCGGCATCCGGGGCTCAATCGGAAACTCTTTCGACTTGCGAATGTCTGGTGAGGCTTCGGGCCCGCTTCATTTGGGGAGTTCCCGCGTGCTGTGCTGCATTTGCATGCGCGGTGCTGGTGACTGCTCTTTCGGCGCGCTTTTCTCAGCGGCAAAGCGGAAACCGTCCAGGTGCAGGAGATATTCTCCTCCTACGGCCCCGTGAAGTCGCTGAGGATGCTCCCGACGCCCGAAGGCAAGACCGACGTCGCCGCCATCGTCACAATGGACCCATGAGGGCAGCCAAACTCAAGGTTTCGTCGTCGTCGGGGGGGGGCGGAGCGGAGGAGGACCAGAGTAGACACACAGGTAGAAACATATCCGTGAGGCTAATAGAAGCGCCAAGCAAGAGCCATATTTTGAAAAGGATGGGCCCGCCCTCCACGCAGTAGCTGTTGTACCATGTTAAAGTTTTGGCCATTGACTTGAACGAAGTCTCAAGCGAGAGCCCCACGTTGAAAAGGCGGTGGCCTCCATACGTGTAACTGTTCCACTGGGTACGTCCCTGGCTGGCGAGAGCGCAACGTTGAAAAACTCTGCCCTTCATCCGTGCAATTGCAGGGAACGTTTCAAAGGAGGTGCGCGGCGCTAAAGATGGAGTCACACTTTGAGCATGAACTGCTAGCCATGTGCATAGCGACTAGCAGTATAGTGACCACATTTCATTTGACAAAATACCCCATCCATCCAGATAGTCGTTGATTCCTTCGAGGCCCATGCTCGCGGCGCTAAGCGATAGCAATATGTGAAACCGATACGTGTGTCGCCTATGTACGGGAAAAGCTTTAAGACCAACGTGTTCGACGCTATGGCTAGAGCCACATTTGAAGACTACCTGTGCCCCACCCGTAAGACCATCCAGCTGCCTGCGGCAAGCCCCGCCACCGTGCCTGCGCAACATCGCAGCAAGCAGGAGGCTGAGTTTAGGAACAGCGCAATTCCGACGAGTGGTCTGATAAGGAAGGGTCGTGAACTCGACCATGTCTTCGTCCGCGCAGAAGGTCGAGTTCACACCCCGCGGCAGTTCATTGAGTGCTCTGATCTGGGGAGGGTTGTGATCCCGACATCGTCTTCGTCCGCGCGGTAGGGCTGATGATGAAGACGAGGTGGTGGAGGAGGAGGAGGAGGAGGAGGAGGAGGAGGAGGAGGAGGAGGAGGAGGAGGAGGAGGAGGAGGAGGAGGAGGAGAGGGAGAAATGGAGGACGAGGAGGAGAAAGCTTATTGGGGCCTCTCCTCGGAGCCTCCTGGGTGGCCTCTTGCGGGCCTCTCGGGTGCCTCCTGGGGCCTCTTTGGGGTCTCCTGGGGCCTCTTGGGGCCTCTTGGGCTGTCCAAGGGAGGCGATTGGCCCGTCTGATGCCTTCGGAGGCCTTCTTGGGGGTCTCTCTAGGCCGTCTTCGTGCCCTCTTGCTGTAGGGCCGTCCTGGGGCCCTCTTGGGAGCCTCTTGGGCGATCTTGGGGCTCTCTCGGGCCGACTCGGGGCCCTCTTCGAGGCCTCCCCCGTGGGTTGACTTGGAGCTATCTTGGAAGCCCCTTGGGCCGACCTGGGCGGTCGGAAGCCCAAATAGGCGAGAGCCTCCAGATCGCTTGAACACCTAAGGGCGCTCAATTGTTTTGGCCTGGCCCTCCTGGAGGGCGTCTCGGAGCCCTCTTGGGCCGCCTTGGGGGCCTCTCTGGCGTCTTGAGGCCTTTTTTGGGGGGCCTCTCGAGTCGTCTTGCGCCATTTGGACCTGCTTAGGTGTCGCTTTGGCTGTGTGAAAAGCCGTCCTGAAGGGGGCGGGGCCCCAGACAACATAACGCAAAAAGCCTCCCAGACAACACACGGGCATTCTAACACGCCCAGAAGGCACCTGGCCTGGTGGCGGATCATAGCTTCTACGACGGAGGTGCAAAGCCGCATCTTGGGAACGGCCCGCCCAACAGCCGCGTAGCCCTTCAAGTCAAGTCAAATCAAGTAAGCCGTGCATCCCATAGGACGCGTGGGCAGAAAAGGGGAAATGCGTGTAGATCACCTTCAGAGGCAAAAAGTTCGTACGCTATGAGCGCAGCTGTGCCTTGATCCATCCGCTGTCCCTCGAGGGGGGCTATCTTGACCAGCTTACGGCACCATTGCAACGACGAAGGCAAACAATCTGCGCTGGCCCAGGGCACGGGTATGGACGGCCGCAGCCGAAATCTAGCCCTTGGGAAGCCAACCATTCAAGATGACATGCGTTGAGAAAGCTCGGGCGAAGTGCCCGGCGCACCCTACCAACACGACCAGGGGTGCGCCGACGAGTCCAGGGTTAATAACGAGGCCATGGGGATGTGGAGGGGTGGTCGTGGGCGAGGGGAGAGGGAGTAGGAGTGCGTAGCAGGATGAGGATGACAAGAGGAGCATGCGGAGAAAGGGTAGGATGAAGGATGAGGAGGAGGAGGGGGAGGAGGAGGAGGTGGAAGTGGAGGAGGAGGAGAGGAGGAGGAGGAGGAGGAGGAGGAGGAGAGGGGGAAGAGGAGGAGGATGAGCAGGAGGAGGAAATCAGAGGAAGGAGGGGAGGAGAGAAGAAAGCAGTTGTGGTGAGGAGATATTCGGAGCATTACTCGGCATAGGGGGAATACGGAGGAGTCGGGAAGAACCCAGTGGAGGAGAGGGATGATGATGATGATGATAGGATGAGGAGGAGGAGGAAGGAGGAGGGGAGGAGGAGGAGGGAGGAGGAGGATCGATCAGGAGAGATGGGGTAAGAGGGAGGAGGAGAGAGGAGGATGAGGAGGAGGAGGATGCCGAGGCGGAGGCGGAGGCGGAGGAGGAGGAGGAGCAAGAGCAGAGTGAGGTAGGAGGATGAGGAGAGAAGGAAGAGGATATGCGACTCAGAGGAGGATCAAGAGGAGTGAGAGGAGGATGAGGAGGACAGAAGAGGAGGAGGAGAAGAAAGGATGAGGAGGAGAGAGGATGAGGAGGGAAGGAGGAGGAGTGAGGGAGGAGGAGGACGGAGTGGTGAGGAGATAGTCGGGAATTACTCGCATAGGGGAGAAATACGAGAGGAGCCATTGGAGGAGAGAGGGAGGAGGAGGAGGAGGCAGGAGGAGGAGGAGGAGGAGGAGGAGGAGGGAGGAGGGGAGGAGGAGGAGCAGGAGGAGGGAGGAGGAGGACGAGAAGAAGATAAGGAAGAGAGGTGAGGATAACGCGGATGGGATCAGAAGGTGAGGTGGAGGAACCCAAGGAGGAGGGGGAGGAGGGAGGATGAGGAGGAGAGGATGAGAGCATGAGCAGAAAGAGGAGAGAGGATGCTAGGAGGAGGGAGAGGAGCAGGAGGATGATGATGAGGAGGAGGAGGAGCAGGAAGAGGAGGAGGAGGAGGAGGAGGAGGGGGAGGAGGAGGAGAAGGAGGGGTGAGATGATGAGGATCCTGAGGAGCTGGATGGGGATGGGCAGCAGGAGAAGGAAGATGATGCAGCAGGCTGGAGGGTGAGAAGGAGGAGGATAAGGAGGAGGAGGATGAGAGGGGAGCCGGAGGAGGAGGAGGAGGAGGAGGAGGAGGAGCAGGATGAGGTGGGGTGAGATGATGAGGATCCTGAGGAGCTGAATGAGGATGGGCATCAGGAGAAGGAAGAGGATGCAGCAGGCTGGACGGTGAGAAGGAGGAGGAGGAGGAAGAGGTGGAGGATGAAGGGGAGGGATGCAGGAGGAGGAGGACGAGGAGCAGGAGGAGGAGGAAGGAAGGAAGGAAGGAAGGAAGGAAGGAAGGAGGGAGGGAGTTCGACGACGAGAGGATAATGACGTGACAGGAGGGCTGGGGAGTTGGAGCATGGGTTGAGGAAGAGGGAGAGAGAGAGAGAGAGAGAGCGAGAGAGAGAGAGAGAGAGAACGAGAGAGATAGAGAGAGGAGAGGTAGGGCGAGAGGAGGCGTGAGGGAGGGAGGAGGCAGGAGGAAGAGACGATTTGGATAATGAGGGGGATGGTGAGGATGTGAAGGAAGGAGGCCGGGTGTCCTCTCAGGAGAACTCCGAGCAGGCAAAATGGCTGATCGAAAACGTCAGCGGCAAGGTGCCCTTGGGGCCTGCTCTGCCTCCTCCTCCTCCTCCTCTCCTTTGTCCTCTCTCTCTCCTCCTCCTCCTCCTCCTCCTTCTTCTCCTCCTCCTCCTCCTCCTCCTCTCCCCTTCCTGCTGGGATTCAATTCCCTCCCCCTGCTCGCAGACCACCGCGCGCCCATTCAATGCATGACCGCCCTCCTCCTCCTCCTCCTCCTCCTCCTCCTCCTCCTCCTCGTTCTCCTCCTCCCTCTCCTCCTCCCCCTCTTCGCTTTACTAGTTCATATTTGTAGTCTCCTCTCCCATTGCGCCCTTCTTACCCCCCCCCCCCCCCACACACACACACACACACACGCCGCGCGTGATCCCACAGACGTTAAGAGAGAGAGGATGGAGGGGTGAGGGATGATGATGGTTGTGGTGGTGATTATGATGATGTTGGTGATGAGGACGATGAAAATCAGGAGGGGGAGGAGGATCAGGAGGAACAGGAGGATGGGGAAGGGTGTCAGAGGGCATACGGATGATGAAGGGAGTAGTGGGCAGAATGGAGTATATGGAGGAGGAGGGGGAGAAGGACGACGACCACAACCTCCCCCCTCAATCCCTCTCCCTCCTTATCAAGCCCGCCTCGTCATCCCACCTCCCCCTTGCTCCTCCTCTTCCGCCCCCTTCCCGTAGCTTTTTGCCCCTTCCACATGTTCATGGTCTGCGTCCTCCTCGTCCTCGCCCTTCTCCCTCGCCTCCTCCTCCCCTGCCCCCTCTGGATGGCGTGGGCGAGGAGCGGGTGGCGGAGGAGGACGGCTTGGATGAGGGTCGGGAGGCGGCGGCGGCCCAGCTGCCTCGAGACGCCCGTCCCGAAGCGCTGCACGGGCCGTGCTCGAGACGTGCGCGTGCCAGTACGTGGCGGGTTTGCGCTTCGTGTTGGCCCACGCTCTGGCGAGCGCATCGCGCACGCGTCGAGTCCCGTGCAGTGGAGACCCATGCCAAGAAACACCCCGCTTGCCCCCCCGGGGTGCCCCGGATTGTTCTTGGGTTTCGATGGTTTTGCCAATCGTAGAAACCTCCGGGTAGGCTTTTTACGTATCGATGGACATTGTTTAATCTGATTGTACCGATAGCTTCGAATATTATCTATTGATCCAATTCGCGCTGCCACGCCAAACATCGATGAACGTCCTGGGGTCTCAGGGTTGGGTTCCCCGTAGACGTTTTTTTTTGTGGTCGGGCCTCCACCGTGTCAGCGCGTGGCGTGCTGCGTGCTGCGGGCTGGGACGGCGATGGGAGGCAGAGCTCCTGCCCTCCTCCCTCCTCCTCTTCCTCCTCCTCTTCCTCCTCCTCCTCCTCGTCGTTCTCCTCCTCCTCCTCCTCCTCCTTCCTCGCCTCATCCTCCGACTCCTCGCCTCCTCCTCCTTTTCTTCGCCTCCTCCGTCCTCGCCTCCTCCTTCTCCGCCTCCTCCTCCTCCTCCTCCTTCTCCACCTCCTCCTCCTCCTCCTCCTCCTCCTCCTCCTCCTCCCCTCCTTTTTCGGCGGCCAGGTGCCCCAGGGCCTCGCGGAGCCCATCACGATCAAGAAGAAGCGGGAGGCCCAGGCTCGCGTCCTCAAAGGCACATGCACGTTATCAGTTCCTTGCTTTGTCACCCCCACGCCAGCAGAGGAGGGGGAGGACGGTGATGGAAGGCACTGGCCGACGGTGAGGAGGATGAGGATGCCCAGGAGGAGGAGGAGGAGGAAGAGGAGGAGGAGGAGAGGAGCAGCAGGAGGAGGATGAGGGGGGGATGATAGATTCAAGGCGGAGGAGAACGATGATAAGTCTGATGGGCTACATGTGAGAGTGCAGCTGCAGTTGTTGGTGATGATGATGGTGATGATGATGGTGATGATGATGATGGTGATGATGATGGTGGTAATGATGATGATGGTGAGGTTGATGCTGGTGGTGGTGATGATGATGATGATGTTGTTGATGATGATGATGGTGGTGCTGATGATGATGCCGATGCTGCTGGTGCCGATGATGCTGGTGAGGATGATGAGGTTGACGATGGTGATGCAGCTGCTGCTGATACTGATGATGATGAGGATGCGGCTGATGAGAATGATGCTGTTAATGACAATGCTGTTACTGATGAGGATGATGGTGGCATGTGACGCTGATTGAGGGGGAGAAGGTGGAGGCATGATACATTTTTTGCCTCAGACCATTACAATGCGGACGATGCTGATGCTGATGATGATGGTGGTGATGATGGTGATGGTGGTGGTGATTATGCTGATGATGATTATGATGATGCTGATGATGATGAGGATGAGGAGGAGGAGGCTGAGGATGAGGCTGAGGCTGAGGATGAGGATGAGGATGATCATGATCATGATCATGATGATGATGATGATGATGAGGAGGAGGAGGAGGAGGAGGAGGAGGAGGAGGAGGGGGGCGGGCGGGGCACGCTCGTCCTCCCGCTCGTCGTCTTTCTCCCTCATGCCGTTCCCAACTCTTGTTATATACTCGCCGTCCCCTGCACCCGGAGGACTGGAGCAAGGGCATGGGCAAGGGGTGGGGTGGCATGCCCGCTTGGGCGATGATGTGGAACTTCGGCAAGGGCGGCTACGGCGGCTACGGAGGCAGGCCTCCTGTTCCTATCTCCCTCCCTTCCTCCTTCTTTTCCCTTGCGCTTCGTTCCCCCCCCCCGGTGTGTCTCTCTCTCTCTCTCTCTGCCCCCCTCTGTTTCTCTCCCTCCCTCTCTCTCTCTCTCTTTATGTCTGTGTCTCTCTCTCGCTCTCTCTCGCCTCTGCCTCTGTCTCTCTCTCTCTCTCTGATGATGGTGATGCTGATGGTGATGATGTTGTTGCTGGTGGTGCTGCTGATGATGATGATGATGATGATGATGATGATGATGATGCTGATGATGCTGATGGTGATGGTTCTGGTGATGGGGTTGGCGATGGCGGTACGGTTGGTAAGGATGAGGCGGATGGTGATGATGCTGTTGTTGTTGCTGCTAAGGATGTTGATGACGATGCTGATCGTGCTGATGATGCTGATGTTGATGTTCATGATGATGGTGGCGACGACAATGATGGTGATGGTGATGACGATGACGATGACGACGAGCTGATGATGATGACGATGCTGATGATGATGATGCTGCTGATGATGATAGTGGTGCTGATGTTGTTGATGATAATGATGGTGACGGTGATGATGATTATGCTAATGCTGATGATGATGAGGAGGAGGCGGATGCTGGTGTTGATGTTGATTATGATGATGCTAGTAATGGTGATGCTGCTGATGCGGATGCTGATGATGATGACTATGCTGATGCTGCTGATGCTCATGCTGGTCATGCCGATGATGCTGATGATGATGATGATCACGAGGTTGATGATGCTGATGGGGACGATGGGGCTGATGTCGGCGATGATGATGATGCTGCTGGTGATGATGTCGTTGATGATGATGCTAATGATGATGATGATGATGATGATGATGATGATGATGATGATGATGATGCTGATGATGATGATGATGATGATGCTGATGATGATGAAGATGATGATGATGATGATGATGATGATGATGCTGATGATGATGATGATGATGATGATGATGATGATGATGATGATGATGATGATGATGATGATGATGATGCGGATGCTGTTGCTGATGGTGAAGATGATGAGGCTGATGCTGAGGCTGATGCTGATGCTGATGCTGCTGATGATGATGCTGCTGATGATGATGGTGATGATGATGACACCGATGGTGATCGTGATGGCGATGCTGATGGTGATGGTGATGGTGATGGTGATGGTGATGGTTGTGGGATAGGTGGTTGTGATGATGATGAGGCGGAGGAGGCGGAGGTGGAAGAAGAAGGAGTGGTGCAGGAGGGGGAAACGGAAGAAGAGGTGGAGGAGGCGGAGGAGGGATAGGAACATGGGGAGGAGGAGGATGAGGAGGACGAGGAGGAAGAGGAGCAGGAGGTGGGCGTTTTGGGAGGGGGACGAGGTTGGACGACGACGACGCGTACGACAAGAAGGAGAACGACGAAGCCGGTGAGGAGGAGGAAAAGAAGGAGCGAGTCCCGCGAGTCTGCTCCAGCGGGAAGCCTGGGGTGGCACCCTTCATCTCGTCCCCTTGGTCTTCCTAATCCTCTCTCCTCATCCTTGTCACTCTGCTCGTCGTCCTCATCCTGCCCCTCGTCGATCCCCGAGGATCGCGGACGCATTCCTTTGGTTTTCACCCGGGTCGTCCAGACGCCCTCCAGATGGCATTGGAGGTTCCGAAAACACTCCCATTTCCCCTTCTCCCCCGTTATCCTTCCTCGGCGTCCCCCCCCGTCCTCTTCCACATCAACTATTTTAAATCCCCCTTCCCTTCCCCGACAGCATCCCTCCTTCCTCCTCCTCCTCCTCCTCCTCCCTCGAGATCCGCCCTCCTACCTCGTCCTCTTCCTCCTCTTCCCCCTCCTCCCCCCCCCCTTTCCGCCCTGGGGAGACGAGCGGTGCCTTTGTTGCCTTTGGCCCCGCCCGAAGGCAAGGGCGGCTGGGGCAAGGGCGGCGGCGGCGGGCTGGCGAGCTTCCCGGCGGAGAGGAAGGCCCCGCATGATCAGAAACACATCGGCTGGGGTCTGGCCCTCTTCCTCCTCCTCTTTCTCCTCCTGCTCCTCCTCGTTCTCCTCTTCGTTTTCCCCCTCGTTCTCCTCCTCCTCGTTCTCCTCCTCCTCCTCGTTCTCCTCCTTGTTCTCCTCCTCGTTCTCCTCCTCGTTCTCCTCCTCCTGCTCCTCCGTCCTCCTTCCTGAGTTTCGAATGTCTGCCCTCCAAGACTGAAGGCGCAAGTTCTCGCACCACGCAGGCCTTGCTGGCCATCCTCTGGGGACTTCCGGGTGCCTCCTGTGGACCTTCGAAGACCTCCTCCTTGACCCCCCCTTCGCCTCCTCCTCCTCCTCCTCCTCCTCCTCCTCCTCCTCCTCCTGCTCCGCCTCCACCCATCTCCCTCCTTCACTCACGCGTGCGGGCTGGAGACGGATGAGGAGGAAGAGTAGGACCTGAGGAGACGGAGGAAAAGGAGAAAGAGGGGTCGGAGGAGTAGACGGATGAGACGAAGAAGGATGAGGAAATGTATATTTTAAGCGGAGGGGCAGGTCCAGGACGGTCGGAGTCGTCGGCGACGTTGTAGTCTCACGTCGACCGTCGTTGCTGCAGCAGGTGCATCAAACAAGACATCAGCCTGTCAGCATGTGTTCCACGGAACTGTCTTATCCCCCCGTGCACCTCGGGGCCTGCACAAGGCTTGGTGCGCCGTAGGATGCTCAGAGAACGTCGACAAACCTGCCCCGTAATTGTCCAAGCGAGATTTCTTATCGCATGTGTCTACTGTCGTCGTAGTCGTCGTAGTCGTTCTCAGTTCCTCGATGTGCGTCGTCGTCGCTTGTTTCTCTTCGTGTGTTAGTGTCGTTGTCGTCATGTTCGTCGTTCGTCGCCCTCGTCCTCCTTGTACTGTTTGTTTTGTGTTCCTCCTTGTTCTCGTTCTTCCCGCCGTCGTCCTGGTCGTCGTCTTCATTTTCCTTGCAGTGCTCATTGTCTCCCTTCTGGCTGGCAACTGTACCACGGATCACGACCGTGACCAGTTCTTCGCCCTCGTCTTGTCGTCGCCCTCCTTCTCAACATTCCTGCCCCATGGGCTCGCAGATCAGCACCAGTTGCCCCTCCCCATCTTTCTACCCATTATCACCCCCTCCACTTCATCTTAAGTTCTCCTTCTCATCATCACTCCTCCTTCCCATCACTCCTCCTGCTCATCATCATCGTCCCTCCGCGCTACTCCTACAGCTTCATAGAATGAGTTGCACTCGCCTCCCTCTCCTGATACTGTGCGGTGCTGCCGCCGCCTATCCCGCGCTTTGTTCTGCACATGCAGGGTTTCACAGAGATGGTGTTCCATGCGGGATCTGTGGATCGGAACGTGCTCGACCCTTCGAAAACGGTGTACCGGCTGCAGAGCTGGTCACGTGCTAAGGGCCGGCGTTTTGCCCGAGGTGTTCAGCATGGCGCTCTCGCCCTGGCGCGGGCTTTGCTCGTCGTTGCCGCCCCTCCGCCTTCCTCCTCCTCCTCCTCCTCCTCCTCCTCCTCCTCCTCCTCCTCCTCCTCCTCCCCTTCTCCTCGCTCCTCCTCGCTCCTCCTCCCCTCCCTCCTCCTTCCCCCTCCTCCTCTTTTCCTCCTCCTCCTCGTCCTCCTTCTCCTCCTCCTCCCTCCTGCTCCATCTCCCCGTTCCGCCTTCCCCTTCCTCCCCCAGTTCCTCCTCCCCCCCCTCCTCCTCCTCCTCCTCCTCCTCCTCCTCCTCCTCCTCCTCCTCCTCCTCCTCCTATCCTCCCTCCTCCTGCTGCTCCTCCTCCTACTTCTCCTCCTCCTCCTCCTCCTCCTCCTCCTTCCCCTCCCTCCTCCCCCTTTCCCTCCCCCTCCCCCCTCCTCCCCCTTCTCCCCCTCCTCCCCCTCCTCCCTCGACGCTGGAATCTCGCTCCTTGCTCCTCGATTCTCCCCCCCCCCTTCGGTGGTGCCGCCCCTCCGGGCCGCCGGCCGCGAGGTCTGGATCGGCGACCTGCCCGAGGGCGTGACGTACCAGGAGCTCCAGGCGCGCCGCCTGGCCGCTGCCGTGGACGCCGCTGCCGTCGTCGCCGTGGTGATGCGGCGACGGGGCCCCGCCGAGGCCCCCAGAAGAGCCGGCGGCTCGGTCGCCGAGGCCGCGGCGGGCCTCCGCCGCGGCTGCGGCGCGCCTCGCGGGGCGCGGCCTCCGGTGCGCGGCCCTCGGGGGGCGCGCGGGCCGCCGCGCGCCGCACCCGCGCGCCGCGAGCGGCAGGCCGCGCCAGGCAGGGGCCCCCCACGGGCCCCCCTCGCGCGCAGGCCCCCAGAGGTCCGACGCTCCCCGAAAAACTGGAGCGGGCGGAGTGTGGCTGTGTTCGACCTCCGGGGGCCCTCGCCGGGCCTCGGGATCGTCAAAGAACGAATCGGGGCGGAAAACCAGCCCTGGGGAGGTGGTCCAGACCTCCAGGGCCCAGGCATCGGAAACATTGGATCAGACGGATGTCTGGGTTGGGACTCCTCCGATTCGATTCGATTTCGATTTCGATGGCTTCCGATTCCGATTCGATTTGGCTTCGGGTCCTGAGTTGGATTCCTCCCGACTTTGCTGCCGATCTCCGCCGATCCGATTCAATTCAGTCGGCGATCCGACTCGTCGATCCGATTCTGGGCTCCCCTGGGGCTGACTTCTGTCCTAAAAGCAACAAGCGCCGAGGGCCCCAAGACAAGGGATCGCGACGTCGCGTGGGCCATCATCTCTATATGCACATGCTGTTGCCCCGTGCTCAAGAGGGAAACTCCCCGCCACGGCCTTGCGCGACGGCAGCTCGTAGCAGCACCTAAGGGGTCCGAAGGGTAGCAGCACAGAGCACGACCTCTGCCTGGCCGCCACCCAGAAACTGTTTGAATGTGCGCACGCAGGTATTACCGTGGTCTCCTGCCCGCGACCCCGCGCCGAGCGCGCCCGCGACCTCCCTTGCCCGCGAAGCTCCTTCGGACTCAGAGGACGACACCGGCCAAGCGTGCCGCCCTTTCTCTACCCTCAGCCACCCTTGCGGTCGGTGACTTGGCGCACCGCCCACGACGCCAGTCGTGGTGCTGGCGCGTGGTAGACACGGGTGCCCAGCCCCCCCCCCCGCAGGCCCCCTGGGCCTGGTGGGTCTACCCCCAGGGAGCCTGACTCCCCGCACAGGAACCGAACCCGGCACCACACCCTGGCGGAGGCCAGTTCACTTCCCAGGCATCCCAGGCATCACAGTGGTGCCACGATTACCCCTGTCTCAGAGTAGATTTGCCAAGTCGAAGATTCCCCATGCTCCACGTTGGCGCCTCGCCAGAAGGAGGAACGGGGGGAGAAGGAGGAAGAGGAAGGGGATGCCGAAGAGGATGAGGCGAGAGAGGACGAGGAGGAAGAGGAGAAGAGTATCATCCGTCTCCCTCCGCAGGCGCACTTCCCAGGCTCCAAGTTCGCCACCGTCATGAAGGGCAAGAGCGCTGGTACGGGCGGAGTCGCCTTCGCCACGGCGGAAGAGGCTACGACGACGTTCACGACGACGATGGCCTCGACCACGACGACGACAATGGGGACAGCGACAGCGGCGACGGCGGCGGCGTCGACGGCGACGACTCCGAGGACGACGACCACTGCGACAAGGAAGGCGACGGTGACGATGATCACGACGACATTGGCGGTGGCGACGGTGACCACCATGACGACAACGGCCACTGCTGCCACGACGCCGCCGACGACGGCGGCGGCGGCTGCGGAGGCGGTGGCGACGGCGACGACCACGATGACCACGGCGACGACGACGGTGCCGGCGGCGACGGCAGCGACGGCGAGAAGCACGCCGGGAGGCCACGGAGGCGATCAAGACCCTGAACGGATCGACCCTGGCAGGCGGTCTCCTGCCGTCGTTGTAGTCGTCGACGTCGTCGTCGGCCTCGTCCTCGTCCTCGGGTTGTCCTCGTTCTCGTCGTCGTAGTCGTCGTCGTCCAGCGCCCAGGCCCCCCTGTTCTTTTTCGCCTCCTCGTCTCCCTCGCCTCCCATCAGTCCTCTACTCCTTCTGCTCCTCGCTCCCCCCTTCAAAGATCATCTCACCCCTTCTCACCATTCTGTCTCCTTCGCGCATCGTGTGCCATGTGTCATGAGTCATGGCTGTTGACTCAGGAAGCTGGGAGGCCACCCCGCACAACCCCCAGAGAGCAGACGTGGGCAGGGAATAGTGCAGGAGACTGGGAGGGCGCCGCTATCGAGGGATATAGTGCTACAGAGTGCGCCTGGCTCCAAGTAGCCCTGTCAGTGCACCCACCCGGGCTTTCTGCGCAACGCGTGGCTCGCCAAGGGTGCCGTTGCTTCCAGCGACTGCGCACGCGGCCAGCGCGATTGTTGGGACTATGCTGGCCGATGCACTTCATCCCAGAGGTGGTCCGCATCTGGAAGGGCGAGACCGAGACCCCCGTCCTTGTAATTTGTCCCAGCATCCTGAGTGGGGTTCTTGTTTTCCTAGAACACCCTCTCCTTCTCCTTCTCCTCCTTCTCCTTCTCCTTATCCCGCTTCCCTGCTGGACCATACCAATACGTACCATGCCAATACCATACCTACCTAACATACCATACCTACCATATTACACATATCATACCATACCATACCAACTATACCAAACCATACCAGACCATACTTGCCATGCCTACCATACCAAACCTACCATACAAGCACCATACCTACCTACCATATCAGACCTACCATACCACAGCTATCATACCATATCATTACATTACATACCGTACCGTACCATACCACACCATACCATACCATACCATACCATACCATACCATACCATACCTACCATGCCTACCTTACCAAACCTACCCTACCATACCATACTTTCCATAACATACCATACTATACCATACCTGCCATACCATACCTACCATACCATATCATGCCTACCATGCCAGACCACGCCTACCACACCAAAGCTATCATACCATACTTACCACTCCAGGGCGGCCACGCCAGAGCGAGGACAGTATCGGGATACCATTTTCTTTTCCAGACTTCGTGCCCCTCCCGCTCCTCCGGAGGGTATTCGAAAACCATGTCATTGATCAGGTTTCGAGCCCCTCCCACTCCTCCAGGGAGGCCCCGCCTGAGCGAGGATATTCGAAAACCATGTTATGTAGAAGGTTTCGTGCCCCTCCCACTCCTCCAGGGAGGCCCCGCCTGAGCGAGGGGGTGTTCGAACACCTTGTTATTTAATCGATTCGCTCATTCCGCCGGCGCTGGAGCCATCTTTAAGGCCTCTTGGGGGCCTCTTGGGGGCCTCTTGGGGACCTCTTCGGAGTCTCTTGGGGCTCCTTGGCGGCGTCTTGGGGGCCCCTGCAGCCTCTTGGGGGGCTGTTGGGGACCTCTTTTGGTCAGGAGGGGGGTAGTCGATTGCGCCCCTCCCCTCGGAGGCCACGATCCTCGTGAGGGATGTCGAAAAATTGCCCGGTCTGGCATCTCTGATCCGAGTGTCCCGGGGGTGTCTCGGGGGTCTCCCGGGGTACTTTTCGTCCGGGGACCCCCAGGAGCGGCCCCGCGCGCGCGAACTAGAATATTGTTAACCAGTTACCGGCGATCTTAGCACGCCCTTGGCCCGCTGGGCCTGCGAATTTATCAGGTTTCGTGCCCCTCCCACTCCTCCAGGGAGGCCCCGCCTGAGCGAGAAGGGGATTCGAAAACGCTGTTATTTATCAGGTGTCGTGCTCCTCCCACTCCTCCAGGGAGGCCCCCGTTGAGCGTGGAGGGTATTCGAAAACCATGTCATTTATCAGGGTTCGTGCCCCTCCCACTCCTCCGAGGAGGCCCCGCCTGAGCGAGAGGGTATTCGAAAACCATGCTGTGGTTTCGTGCCCCTCCCACTCCTCCAGGGAGGCCCCGCCTGAGCGAGGAGGGTATTCAATAACAATTTTATTGATCAGGTTTCGTGCCCCTCCCACTCCTCCAGGGAGGGGTTGCCTGAGCGGGGAGGGTATTCAAATGTATAAGATTTCGTGCCCCTCCCACTCCTCTTGGGACGAACGTGCTTCCTGAACAGCCGTCGTCTTCCTCCCTGCTGCTCACCCTCCTTGCCTCCGTTTGCCGTTTCCTTCGCACGTACTGTTGCGATGGCCCTTAACGCACGCATTGATCCTACGAAGCCCTCAACATCCTTGTGTGGGGAACTCTGTTAGCATAATTGCGTGACGTGACCCCCAGGAGCGTAGACCCCTTCCCGGGGACCAGCTTTTCATCCTGAGTCGTTGTTTGACAGTCCCGAGGCCCAGCGAGCGCCCCTGGAGGCCAAAAACGGAGAAGAAACCTCTCGCCCCGATGCTTGCCACGACCCGAGGCCGGGGACGCACCCGTGGGCTGGGCGCCTGGCTGCCACCCGGCGCGGGCACCGTGCGAGAAAAAGGGGGGCAGCAGCTGTCCGGGCGGGTGCCTCACGGCGGCCTCCTTGGGGCGCAGCGGCCCTCGGAAAACGAATGCCAAGGGGGGGGGGGGGGCCCGGAGGTGCAGGGAGTTGGCAGCACCCACGCTCTGGCGATGATGTCTTTTGCTCGGCCAAGACTCTGCAACCTTGGCTGTGCCCTTGCTTGCGCAGCGCGTTCGGGCGAAGGGGGGGGGGGCAGACGGTGTAGGAAGATGGATCCAGAGGGGGGGTAATTAGCGAGAGCGACGCTATCGAATGGCATACAAGACTCTCTTGCGAACTTGCCCTGCTCTCCTGGCGGCCGTCGTCTCGGTGCGGGCTTCCCTGACGGAGTGGGAGGGGCACGACACCCGATACATAGCATGGTTTTCGAATACCCTCCCCGCTCAGGCGGGGCCTGCCTGGAGGAGTGGGAGGGGCACGAAACCTGATACATAGCGTCGTTGTCGAATACCCTCCCCGCTCAGGCGGGGCCTGCCTGGAGGAGTGGGAGGGGCACGAAACCTGATACATAGCATCGTTGTCGAATACCCTCCTCGCTCAGGCGGGGCCTCCCTGACGCAGTGGGAGGGGCACGAAACCTGATACATGGCATGGCTTTCGAACACCCTCCTCGCTCAGGCGGGGCCTCCCTGGAGGGGTGGGGGGTGGCACGAAACCTTGTAAATGGTATGGTATCCCGATGCTGTCCTCGCTCCGGCGTGGCCTTCCTGGAGTGGTAAGTATGGTAAGGTAGGTGTGGCAGGGTTCGGTGTGGTAGGTGTTTGGTATGGTTGGCACGGTATGGTAAGTATTTTATTGGTATTGCATGGTAGGTATAGTCTATGGTAGGTATGGTATGGTAGGTGTGGAATTGGTATGACATTGGTAAGTCTCGTGTAGTAGGTATGGCATGGTGTGGTACGTATGGTATGGTATAGTATGGTATGGTATAGTATGGTATGGTATGGTATTGTATGGTATGGTATGGTATGGTATTGTAGGGAGACGGGAGATGGAGAAGGAGAAGGAGAGGGTGTTCTAGGAAAACAAGAACCCCACTCAGGATGTGGGGGAAAAATAGCTTGAACCAACATGGCTGCTTCTGCTGCTGCTGCGGAGGAGGAGTAGGGAGGGTGATGAAGTGAAGAGTGTCTGGGGCCCCAGCACCGAGGGCGAGGAGGACGAGTAATCAGGAGGACTTGCTAGAGGGGCGGAGGTAAAGAGGGTGATGTTGAGGAGTCGGAGGTGGAGGAACGCGCTGAGGAAGAGGAGGAGGAGGATGAAGAGGAGGAGCAATTTGTCAAGACTCTCAACAGATCCGCTCCAGGTGCGACGATTGTCGTGGACATCTGGACGAAGAAGGACTTGCCACTGCCATGCTCCCCTGACCCCTATATCGCGTGGACGACAGAGGTCTTGGTACAACGGTTTTCTGGACATAGGGGAGTGGTGGGATCTGGAGGAGGGTCGGGGAAAAGAGGAGGAGCGAGGATCAGAACACAAGCCGTTTCACCATAAAGTTTTTGCTCGTAGGGGATCTTTATTGCCTTGTTACTGGGTCTCCTCCAGTTCCAATTGCCCCGACCAGCCCTGACCAGCCCGTGCCTGGCAGTCCTCCATGACGCCGGCCTCGTCTGGCGTCAGTTGGTCCCTTGTGCTCGATTGTCCTGGGCATTCGCCTGACGTGTGTAAAGCTGGCCAGTTTCTTGCCTTGTATTGTCACCGATGACACTTGCCCCAGACAGCCCCTTCCCACATGATGCCGCCGATATTGCCTGCCCCGACCATGGCTAGCCCCGACAAGCCCCTTTGACGTGGGTTGTCACCGATATCGCCTGCTCTGGCTAGCGCCGACCAGCCCCTGGCGCAGTTTGTGCACGCGCTTGGTAGCTCCGACTAGTCGGGTCATTGACCTGGATTGCCGTGGATTCTGGCTACCCTGGCTCTTTGGCCAGCTCCGGCCAGCCCCTTGCCTGGGGTTGTCTCCGAGTTCGCTCGCCCCCGCTTGCCGCGCAGCCTTAACTTCACATTCGCCCTCCCTTTGCTCCCGCTAGCACCCTTGGTTGTCACCGACTTGGCCTGACACTTTCTTCCACTTGGTGCCAAGTGATGCTAGCTGTTTTGAGCATGAAGCCTTACAGGAACACGCGCCAATCGCATCTTGCCCTTTCGAAGTCAGTTCGGTCCAGCCCAGTGTGTTATAGGATAGTCTGCTCTGGTCCAGCCCAGTCCATCTAGTCCAGTCCAGCCTCGTCCAGTCCAGTCAAGGCCAGTGTTAAACAAGACCAACATATACCAGCTCAGCTGAGCCTGGCCCGTCCATCCAAGTAGAACGTCGACATCAGGGGTTAGAGGGTTCCAAACCTGACCCGCCCGTTTGCGCCAGCTCGCCCGACCCGCCTGTTAGGGTCCACCCGCCCGGCCCGCCGGTCAGGGTCCGCTCGCCCGCTTCAATGTCCTACCCGACCGACCCATTTGTCAGGGCCCGGCCAGAAGGATTCCAAGCTTCCCAGACCCACGGCGCCAGCGCTGGTTCTTTCTCATTATCTTCAGCCAGCGGCCGCTGGCGACTCGGGCGCCGTTGCTCCGCGACGCCCGGAGGAAGCCACTCCGGCCGAGCCGCCCGCGGCGCCGGCGCCCGCGGACGCGGAGGCGAGCTGAGGAGCCGCGCGCTGCTCGGCCTGCCTCCCTCTGGCCTCCCTCCTCCTCATGCCTCCTCCTTGTCCCTCTCCCTCCCTCGCCTGCTTCGCGACTCCCTGCCGCACCCGCAGCCTCATGCGGCGCCGCCCCCACAGCCCGCTCCACCTCCGCCGCACTCGAGACCTCGGCTGGGCCCCCCGGTGGCCCAGGCGCCGGCGACCGCCGTTGTCCACCGCGTCCAGCTCCCTCCATGCTGCTGGGCAGCGCTGCCGCAGCCCCGGCGTCGGTCACCTGCGTGGGCGGTCACTGCACAGAAGTATTTCAAGGACTAGACCGCCAGCTGGCGCGGATATGTGAGCTCGTGCGCCATGCGGCGGTTCGGACGTTCCCTCCCCCCGCCTTAGCAATTCCTTTCGGGCAGCGGGAGTCCTGGGCTTCGACGGCACATTCAGGAATGGCCCAACTTCAGCAGCTACGACTGCGACGACCCCGCACGCGAATCGCGAGGCACGCCACAAGCAGCAGAGACGGGAGCAGCATGCGCATGGAAAACGATAGCCCACCGTTCACACTGATGGGCCCGCCGCGTTTGAGAAGAGCGGGCAGTGGCAGCACCACGAGTGCGAGACGTGAAGCCCCAGCGCTATTAGCTACAACACTGGGGCCAAACGTGCGACAACGGTGGGCAGTGGCACTAGGCGACGGGGGAAGAAAGCGAACCCAACGTCATCAGCTACTGTGTTGAGTCCGCCCCCTGCGAGAACAGCGGGGCGCTGGCACCACGGGGGCGAGTCGGGATACCTCAACACCATCGGCCTCGACATTGGGACTACTGCGCGAGAGAGCGGTGGGTAGTGGCAGCAGGCGCTGGGAGAAGAAACTGGGCCGCCGCTTGCGATAATAGTGGGCAGTGGCACCATTGTACGATACGAAGGGTCCCGTCGTCATCACTTGCACCACAGGGCTCACCACATGCGAGAAGCTTGGGCAGTGGCAGCCTTCGCCAGGAGGAACACGTGAACTCGGCGTCACCAGCGACATCGTTGGGACCATCGTTTATGAGAGTAGCGGCCGCTGGCGACATGGCGGCGAGACTGCAAACCGCCACGTCATCAAGTATAGCATTGATGCTACCGTGGCGCGCCGCGGCAGCAGGGGACGGGAGAAGGAAGCGATACCACCGTCATCAGCTGAGGCGATCAGAGGCTGGTGGGCAGAGTCAGCGGGCGTTTCGGGAAGGAAGCGTTGTCCAACATGCCCAGCTCACTACTGTGCTCCGGCCGACGCGTGAGAGAGAGGCAGGCGCCGGCGACACGGGAGCAAGACGGGCAGGTAACCGCACGAGCGATCGGGCACAGCGCAAGGACCGGTTCGCCCGAAGGAGACCCAGGAGTGCTCGTGCAATGGCGGGGCAGCGCGGGCACGGGGGAGACGCGATCTTGGTACGGTTAGCCGCGGCGGCAGCGGTGATCATCAGCTAGAACGTAGAGATCTGGAGCAGGGAAGGACACGCAACTATGCCCTCCGCCTGGGTGCTGGGATCCGCACGTGTGCGAGGGGCGCAGGTTTGCCCAGTAGGTTTGCGCGGAGCTAGGACCAACCGCGATCAGCAACAACAGCACTGCAAATCCCAGTCGATTCCCTCCCTCCTCGTCCTCCTCCTCCTCCTCCTCCTCCTCTTTGCCTCGTCCACCTGCTCCTCCTGCTCTTTCTCCTCCTCCTCCCCCTCCTCCCTCGCCTCCTCCTTCGCTTCCCTCCTCCTTCCCCTCCTTCGCCCTCCTTCCTTTGCCTTCTTCCCTACTCCTACTGCTCCTCACCCGCTGTTGTTTCTTTGCTCTTCCCTCCTCCCCCTGTCTGCTGCTCGTCCTCATCGCCATCCTTCTCTCCTGCCTTCTCATATCCCTCCTCCGCCCTCCCCCGCTCCTTCTCATCCTTCTCATGTTATCGTCCTCCTACGTTCTCCCCCTCCCTCCAAGTTCTTTATCCCTCTCCTCTTCCTCCTCATTCTCGTTATCCCTCATCCTCGTTCTCCCTCCCCCTCTCTCGTGAACCTGCGCCTCTTCTTCTAGCCCTCCTCGTCATTTTACTGCTGCTGTTCCTCCACCTTCCTCCCTCTCCCCTTCGTTCTAAGTTTTCTTTCTCGCTCCTTGTCTATCCTCGCTCCGCCCTGCTCCTCTTCGCCTCTAGCTTCTCCAGTGCCAACCTAGACATGTGATTTGACTGTTAAGTGAAGCATCCCGTCTGCAGCGATCGTTGTCAACATCAGCCGTCAGCCGTCGTCATCGTCGGCGCTGCAAGCCGCACGGCCCGCGTCGGTAACGGGGACACGCGGGGAGGGATGACGGGGAGGAGTAGGAGGAGTTGGAGGAGGAGGAGGAGGAGGAGGAGAAGGAGGAGTTGCAGGAGAACCAGTGTAGACCCAAGAGGCATCAACGATGTTGGAATAATCATTGCCTCCGATCTTTCTCTTCATAGTCCCCTACAGTGGTTCATTTCCACTGATGGAATTGCCTCGTTGTAAGACAACCGTTTGAAGACCTTGAGGTGTGCCAAAACATTGTTCTCGGGATTCCAGCGCCACGGATCAGCTTGATTGTTGCGCCTTGACGATCTGAACCGTGCCAGAACGCACTCTCAACACCGCGGATCAACGTAACTGTTGCGCTCTGGTAATCCCGAGCCCTTCCAAAACCATGTCTGGTACGCTGATCACGGGAAACCGTGAAATTCTTGAACAGTTCAATAACGAATGTGCGCAGCACTAAGGCGAGAGCCACATTTTGAAAAGGAACCGCCCTCAATCCGTGAAGCTCTTGCGAGCGTTCAAAACGAATGTGCGCGGCGCTGTGGCGAGAGCCACATTTTGAAAGCGGCCCGCCCTCAATCCGTGAAGTTTTTGCAGCTTCTTGAACCGAATGTGCGCGGCGCTGAGGCAAGAGCCACAATTTGAAAACGACCCGCCCTCAATGGCGAACTCTTGCAATTTGATTGAACGAATTTGCTCGGCGCGAGGGCGAGAGCCACATTTTGAGAACGACCCGCCCCTGATCTATGAAACTATTGTCAGGTGAGGAAATCTCAGGCGAAACGTCTGGGCCACTCTAAAAACTGGCCTCGGGGTGCGACAGGGAGAAGTTATGTATATTGCAAAGGAGGAGGAGGAGGAGGAGGAGGAGGAGGAGGAGGAGGAGGAGGAGGAGACCAGGGATCTGGAGCAGGCGGAGGCGGCGGAGGCGGAGCAGGCGACGAGCGCGAGGGCCAGGGCGCAGGCGCTCTGGCCGCGCAGCAGCTCCGCCGAAGCCCACTGCGGGGCGCCACGGCGCGGCGGCCGCGGACCCCACGCGCGCCGAGGGCCGCGCGCCGAGGGGCCGCGGGCGCCCAGGCAGCCTCCGGGCGCCTCCGGGCCCCTCGACGCGCGGCTCGCCCTGTCGTCGCCGCGGCCCCCGCGGCGGCCAGGGAGTGGCGCGCGGGCGGCCACGGGCGCGGTCTGGGCCGCCATCTGGCGGGAGGTGGACGTGCCCCACCTACCCTTGACCCAAGACATATGGATCTCAAAACGACGACGACGATACCGATGACGAAGACGACGATATTGATCCCAAAACGACGACGACGACGACGACGACGACGACGACGACGACGACGACGACGACGACGACGACGACGACGACAGTCGCACAAAGTCTTCTGGTGGGGAGCGCGATGGGGGTGGAGGAGGGCCCAGCCCCCCTCGCGCGGTGCAAAAGTCACGACGGGAGCTTTTGTCCTAGGTTCGGCCTCGGGCGGTCCTTTCCGGGCCTCGGGGCCGTCCACAGAACGTCTCAGGATGCTTACCAGGCCTCGGGACCTTCCAAACAACCATTTAGGATGAAAAAGCAGTCCCGGGGAAGGGGTCCAGGACTCTGCTTGTCGACGTGGTGGGAAATCACGACGTCGGGGGTCAGGGGGATGGAGGGGGAGGGTCGGACGGCGCCAGGACGAGGACAAATCCGTTCCAGAGCGTCCCGGGACGCTCTCAGAGCGTTCTGGGATGCTCTGAGAAGGCCGCGGCGCCCAATAATCCTCCAGAGCTGTCAGATCTTGTCGTCACCCGATATTGTCGTCTTGACCGCCTCGACTTAGAAGGGGAAGGAGAGCAAGAGAACGCTGAGGGGGGGGAGGACGGCAAGCACATTAGGGGAGCAGGATAGGTGCAGCGAGAGGAGGGCGCAACGCAGGGAGGGAGGCGAGATAGAGAGAGAGAGAGAGAGATGAAGAGGAAGAGAGTGAGGACCAAGAAGGTGAGCATTGGGAGCAGTGCAGCGCGCCTCCGCCCGACGGGCCGAGCAGACGGCGGCAGGCGGCCGGGGGGCCGCGGACCCCCGTGGAGGCCCGGCATGCTGTGCTCCGCGAGGGGGCCACCGCACGGCAACGCCACCGAGCGCCCGCCAGCGCACCGCGCGGTCAGCCGCGCAGCTGGCCCAGCTGGTCGGGCCGCCCGCCCCTCCGCCGCAGCAGCCCCGGGCGCCGACGGCGCCAGGCGCGCCCCCGCCGCCGCGGCCTCTCCCGTGGCATCCGGCCACCCGCCCGTCGGCAGCGCGGGAGGGCGGCCCCGAGGATATGCGGGCACGAGCACCCGCCCGCCCGCGGCGCCTCCGGGGGGGGGCCAGACTCAGAGAGAGGGGCGCGAGCAGGAGCAGCAGGAGGAGGAGGAGGCACGGGTGGGGGCGCCACGCGGCGGACAGGCACCGTGCTGGCTGACGCCGCTTTGCCGCCGCCGCTTCGTTATTGCATGTCATTCGTCAGTGCAGCAGCTTTCATGCTCCCATCGGTGTCGGAAGAAGGAGGAGGAGGCAGAGGGAGGAGGGGCTCTCAGCGGACGGCGCGCCCTCGCTTTGGCGGGAGCGGGAGGGCGGCGCCCGGGGCTCAGAGCGCTGCGCCCTCGACAGCGCCAGCGGCGCTCCCGCCGCTGGCGCTTGCCGACGCACTAGGCTTCGAGTAGGAGATCGGCACAACCTTGATCTACCTCGATATTTGCTTGTTCGTCGAATCGACGAACACATAAATACAATGATCGTAGACCTACGAATATTCGACGCGCTTGTCGTAGATCCGACGGAAAAAAACAATTTGGGGGCAAGTCGATCATGTAGTCGATCCCCTATTCGAATGCTCGCGGCGGCGCTCAGCGCCGCATTCCTGCTTCAGCGCGGCCCCTTCGATCGGGGACCCGAGGGCGGGGTGCTTTCCGGGGGTGTCTTGGGCCCTTCGCGGGCTTCCGTGGGAGCCCGAGCATGGCCAGGAGGCCAGGAGCGTCCCGGGAGGCCCCAGGACACCTCCGGAGACTTCGGGAGGGCTCCCTTCTGAGACCCCTGGAGCTCTCCGCGGTGGCCGCCGTGGGCGCCGTGCGGCTCAGGACGGACGGCGCTCTCGCTGCGGCGCGGCGCTCCGGCCGGTCAGCAGCCCCAGCGCCTGGCGCCAGCCGCAGCCCGACGCGGGGCGCGCGAGAGGTGCCGGCGGACATCGGCGGCGGACAGCGCGTGGGCGCGGCGGACATCTGCGGCGGCGCAGCTCCGCTTCTTGACGGCGAGGACCACGACGACGACATCGGCGGCGGCGCCGGTGCGGCAGTGCAGCTGCGGGTGTGCCGCCGCGCATGTCCGCAGCCGCGCTGTGGGAGGGAGTTGTGGGGGTTGGGGGGGTCCTCCTCCTGTCCTCTCCCTCACCCTCCTTCTCCTTCTCCCTCGCCCCCTCCCCCTCCCCCTCCCCCCCGCCGCCGCCTCCTCCTCTTCCTCCTCTTCCTCCTCTTCCTCCTCCTCCTTCTCCTTCTCTTGAGGCCCACTCACGAGGGAGCTCCTCTCGTCTTGGGGCCAGCCGCGTTATGTTAGAGACAGTCGGGTTCGGACGCCACGGATAACAGCGGGAAGGGATGCTACTCGCCGATAGGCTGAGTGCTGAGACAGGGGCGGGAAGAGACCAGGTCAGATGCACATAGACTGCCGACGGGAGCTCGGATTCAGATGCAGAGGGCGATCGAGAAACGGAGAGACACATTGATAGGCCAGGTCGTTAATTGAGACCTAACCGGAGTCAGGGGCACAGCCACCTGCAGATGTGGAGGCAGAGACGGATAAGCTTGCATAACAACTGCATATGCATAAGGGGTGCGGCTGCCAACGATGTACCAGAAAAGGTACTGTCACATGGTGTAGGCATCTATTGGAGACGTATATAGTTCAGATAATCGTGCGAGAGATAGAGAGAGGAGATAGGGTAGGAAGTAAGAGGGAGAAAGAGAGAGAGAGAGAGAGAGAGAGAGAGAGAACAAACAAGAGAGACAGAGAGAAAAAGAGAGAGATGCACGGTGCGCATGCGCCAACTCACACCATGACGTGCAGCTGCACGTGCACTGGCCCCTACACCCTATACCGGCTGCCCATACGCACGCAGGCATGGCTCGGAAAGCCTCCCAGGCCCGTGCTGAGGACTGACGGCCTCCCCCTCCATCTGAGGCAGTGAAGCCCTGCTCCCCCCCCCTGCTCGACCCTCCACCCTCGATCCTCTCGAGACTCGCTCTTGGGGAAACCAAGTGGTGAGAACCACCACTCCCGGGACCTCTCCCGGGGGGCCTTCCGACGAGGACCTCGAAGCGAATCCAGCGTCGGCGACGAGGGCTTCCCAGGAGGCCCACACAGGGGGAGAACGGGGGAAGAGCAGCAGCATCGGTACCCCTTCCTCGGTACCCTTTCCTCTCTAGACATCCGGCTGCTCCAATGTTTCTGATGCGTGGGCCCCGGAGGTCCGGACGACTTCCCCGGGACGGGCGTTTCGTCTTGAGTCGTTTTTGACCCTCCCGAGGCCCGGCGAGGGCCCCCATGAGGGTGAAAACGGTCAAACACCGCCTGCTCCAACTTTGTTGGAGCGTCGGGTCTCAAGGTCGTCCTCTCGAGCCTCGATCCTCTCGCGCCCGCGACCCTCTCGAGCCCAGCCCGCCCCCCCCCCGCTCTCGCGGCGGGGGCCCTGCCGCGCGATGCTGCCGGGCGGGGCCGGGCTGCTCCGCGAGCTGGCGCCCGCCTGTGCTGCCGAGGGCGCGGCGCTGGCGCGCGGGTGCTCAGAGGAGCAAGAGGTCATGATCGACAGGCCAGTTCTCGACCACCACTACCGTGGGCAGAACGGCGAGAAGGGAGGACGGGGAGGTCCTCCTCCTCCGCCTCCTCCGCCTCCTCCGCCTCCTCCTTCGCCTCCTCCTCCGCCTCCTCCTCCTCCTCCTCCTCCTCCTCCTC